CATAATATCAAAAATCTCAAAATCGAAAAAAAAATAAAAACCCCCTTAAAGAATGAGACTGCATCGCCAGCGGAAAAGTAAAAAAAAAAACAAGCAGTCAATGAATGCATGTTGATTTTAATTAATTGAAGTTCTTCAAACACAATTACATAAGTGAAATTCACTGCGTGAACAAATATTATAGAATTTATTAATCAGTAATTACTTCATTTCTCTAATGCAATTTCTCTAAGGTTCAAGTCCGAAATACTAATTACAATGACAAACCGATCATGCCGTATTTGAAGTATGACTTTAATTTCATTATTATTTTCGAATATTATAAATATTTTCAATGCTTTTATAAAAATATAATTTATAATTTATTATTATATAAATGTGTATAATGGTTGATATTAATAAATGTGTGAATCACGATTTTTACAATAGCAAAAAAGTTTTACTTCAATCGCGTGTGAACCTTACGCGCACTTTTTTAATTATTATGTTATTGAAATTTGTAAGTGTTTTGATATATTTTGTGATAGATTCGTCTCTGTTCGAAGAAATCCAGTAGGTACTTATGATGTATGTAGATGTGTATGTTCAGAAAGGGAATTAATGTCTTACTGAAAGCATCAGTCTATCATTTGTCATCCTTGGAGGTTCCGTGATTACATTTGCTTTAAATTAATTAATTCCCAAAGTTTATTGTCGTAAGATATCTATATATCTTATATATAAAATTCTTCTGTAACAATGTAAGTTTCATAATTCCTCCTAAACTATAATTCGGATTTTCATGAATCTTCCTGAAGTTTGTTCGGGAATTTTCTAGAATGTTTTGATTTTAGAAATATAGTTAGATTGTAGAAATAAATGGAAAAAATTACAAAAAACCGCTTATCATTGTTTGCCCTTGAAAATATTTGAAGCTTAGTTTGACAATAAAAACAATTGAAGACTGTCATTTGCCAAAACATTTCTATTCACTTATAGGCTAACGCAATATTGAAATATAATAAATTCATGATTATGAATAAGAAAAATGTAATGTCTACATTATTATTGCCGAAAAGCAGCTGAGATGTGCCTAAAATTAAACTAATTTAAGATGCAAATAATATAACATGCGTTTGACAGTATGCGCATGGACTGACGCGCACGGCGAATCGTGTTCTCAACTGCGCGTTGCTTGCAATAATTTTGTCTGCGCACTTTGCGAACAGATTCGCCGTACGAATTCGTGCAAACAAGACGAGCCATAAGTGATTGCGCTCAAAAATATTCAATTTGCAGTCGTTTTGCCTTACTATACTAAATCACAATACAAAAAAAAAATATTTAGAAGTTTCATTGTGTCAAAAATTCATATGTTTGTCATTTGGTACGGAATATTTACTCAATGGAGCGCTTTCGGTCTGAACTTTTTCTGCTGTTTTCCATTTTGTTTGGAATTTTGGAACTAGGTTCATCTTACTCTTCAGAAGTGAAAAACATTTAAACTCCTTACCACTTCTCGGGTGGATGACATTTCTTTTCAGAGGTGTAATTTTACTTTTTTCAAAATAACGTTGGGTATCGATAAAAGAACTAATTATAAGAGAAAAATGTTTAATAATGTTTTTCAAAAAAGCAAATACTTTTCAAGTTACGGCTACTGAAAATTTGTTTCTTTTTGCGTTTTTATCATTTTTTGCTAATATCTTTAAAAACATACATTTTAACGAAAATCATATAATGAACAAAATTATATCAATTAAAATCTCAATAAATCGCTATTTAATAGTGTTTTTGGAACATTATTAGGCTAGATATGAAAATGGGTTTTTATAGTGCTCAAAATAAGCTTTAAAATGAGTACTTCTGCGTGTAAAATGAGTAAACTATCATGCAAATAAATGAACGCATATAATGTTTTTTCATTTAAATCAAATAGTTTTTCAGTGCCATTTCCACCAAATTTAAAAATAATCGTATTCATCTAGAAAAAACTTTGGTTTAGAGATCTTGATGGGTTCTACAAAATACCACAACTTTAGTACAAACGATTTTAAAAAAATCCAATTTCTCATTATAATATCTCTAAAAGAATACGTATAAAAGCATATATACATATATATGAAAAATTCGAGGTATTTTTATTACTAATTATTGTTGTTAGTATTTTTCGATTACACAAATATTGATAGAGGTATTAATTACGAAGTGCGCGGCTGTCCAACCAGAGGTCTTTCGAGCCTTTAACCCTTCGCCGTTTCCTCATTGTGCCGTAGCTCATCTTAATCACCTTTGAAAATAGTGTATTCAAGTTATGATAAATCAGAATTAAGAGTAATAATCCAATTAATGTGGTGGATGGTGACGGAGTGCAAATGTTTTCCACTTCTGACTAAGATAAAGATTAGCCTATTTCCAAAATATCAACGTAAATTGGAGCACAGTAAAAAAATTCACAGAGCAATAATTTGGTTGATCGTAAGTTGAATAGAGCACATGTGAACAGGATTGACAATTAATTCACTTCAAATATAAACTTAAGCAATAATGTATATTTTGTTTATTAGAGAAAAAAATGTAATTTAGATATTAAACTTACTAAAAGCCAGTTAAAATATAGTACAATTATAAAAATCATAGGCAACATTATTGAAGCAATTATTTTGGGTAGAAAAATAAAAGGTATTTTGCACCTTTGTCGCGAATGCTATATATTAATTCTTTCTGAATTTGTTGTACTTTTTAAAAGATTCAATTTTCAACACGTGTATCTTATGCTATGACCATTAATCACAAAGGCAGACGATCATTTTAGTGTGATAAATTTGAAAACAATGTTTTAGTCGTGAATAAACAAAAAATCATTCATTTTACATCCACATCTACAGTATGACTAAAAATACTATATAACCCTTAAATGCAATGAAATAAATTGAGCTATTGGAAATAAATTTGTTCTATAAATCGCAGTGTATAATTTTTATATACGAGTACAATTT